TTATTGGCATTTGCTATTTGATGAGTCATTCCCGTCATACCTCCCTTTAGCTATTCTTTAATTATGATACAGCACTGGGCTTGTGAACTATGCTTGTTCAGTACATTTGTCAACAGAGTTTTTTTTAAATATTGAGACAGGGATGATCGCTTCCCTCTAAATATCATGGTTGTGTGTATGAAACCTAGAACTGCTACAGCCATTTTACCTACCATAAGGTAAATTAGTTTGACCAATATATATGGAAGAGAACTATGACATGAAAATATCTGAGGGAAGTTGCTGGAACCCTGATGAAGTTTTAACCTCTGAAACAAACAGAACTGGAGTATCCCGTAATTATGGTATTTTCAGTTAGAAGAGCCAAGAAATTGACAGAAGAACTGAGAGCCAGTCCTGCTGGATCCCTGCAGGACTGCAGACAAGTTCCTCCAAGCCACAGGGCAAGGAGCTTGAGCCTCCTTCTTCTCCCTTATTATGTAAAAGACAAAGTGGAATCTGTTAGGAGAGTGAGTAGTCTTCACTGGCCTTCAGTCTTTACTGTGAATGTTGCCAAAAATGAGAAATGCCGAGGCTGCCAGCAAAGTCAGCAGAATGGTGTCTGAAGACACTAGGATCTGTGTTTTTTAATATTTTTTAATTGGGCACCTTGGACCTGCGTATGCACAGCACTGCGGTTTCATACAGCCTTGTATTAGAGCCTCATGAATTATTCTGTTGTTCAAATGAAGTTAACAAAATGTCAGTAGTTGAGAATCTCAGAATCCCAGTCAAGCCAGGGAGGCCATGTCCATGCGGCCGTTCAAAGACGGTGAATGGTAACAAGCTCTGCTCTCTGCTCCTCGACTTTTGGTGGGTGCCAGCCAGTGTGAGCAGACAGCCAAGAGGTCATCCTTCTACTCTGCAGCAGGGCTCCAAGAGTGTTAACCAAACTCCCCAGACAGACTCGGAGAGACTGTTATTTGAGGGCTAGCTTTTTCCTGCTACTCAGTAACTGCATGACCTGGGGTAGCCCAGGTGCCCCATTTCAGGATTATCCTTACCTGTAAAGCAGAAATTATCATAAGAACTGCCCTGCCTTGGGGTAAGGGTGCTTGAGAGATGAAAATAAAATAACACATGCGAAACTGCTTTATAAACTAGAATGTGCTATTCAATAAGTCTTTTTTATGACTTGGTAGCTCAAATATGTGTTTCTAGCTGCCCAGGTATATTTGTTTGTGTAATCCATAGACTATTTTTAAAAGACTTATCACAGTCAATAATTTCAACCTGTTCACCTATTTAATTATGTAACATCATTCAATTATACTAGCAAAACTAGTATAGCTTCTATCTTTTTTTTTCCTGCACAACTGAGACTTTTATAGATATGGTGATTAGCTGAGACATGGTAGGAAGCAAGGATGAGAGTAAAACAAATGGAAATGTTAAGACGTTAATGAATAAGTCCTAACAGTATAATTAATCCCTGAATAATAGTGGTATTACTAAAAATTAACAAGACTATCATCAACAAGCTCATTCAGGTCTTGATACTTTCTAATAATAATGTGGGAGCATAAAGAATACAATACATGAAGACATTTTACTGTTTTCTTCAAATGTACATTTCTTACGACTTGGGAACAATATATGGTTTAAAAATAAGTTTTTATAGTGAAATGTGTCAGGAAACAAATTGTCGTTGTGCTGAGAGAACAACTCTGATATTTTCCCAAGTCCCCATTTGCATCAAATGCTAAGCAAACTAAGTTCAAAGAGGCTGTGTCTTGTTACAACTTCTGTTTTTGGCACCATCAAATAATTTACTCACCCGGGCAAAGACAAAGAAAAATCTCAGAAAAACACTTTGTAGGTCGAAGAATCTCTCAGAGCGCTGTGTGGCAAACAGATGCCCTGGTGCCTGTATCCGCTGTTCTGACAGCCTTTTCCAATAGACAAGAAACATCAAAATTCAAGAGTCCTGCTTTTTATAAGAAGCAGAGATAGCACAGACTAGTGATTCCTGTGAAAAAGAGAATTAAAGACAAAAACAAAACTGTTGGCATAATATAAATCTGCATAAAGTAAAGGATTAAGTGCAAATGACCTGGAGCTTTTTCCCAAGCCCCCATGGCCTGGGAAAATCATCCTTCTGAGACCGTTATTAAGTCGTCTGTGGAGTGCTTTGGGAGTGTTATTATATGTGTCTGTTCACCAGCTTGAAATACAACAAATAAGAAAAAGCAATCTTTCTAACCCATAAGGTTAAAAAAAACAGGTAATTTTTATAAGAACATGACACTAGAAAATAAAGGGCATTTAAATGATAGGATTTGAAATCTATTTTGTGGATGAGTATGACCTCTGGTGTTAAACTAGAGAAATTTCCAGCACTTATGCATCTTAATGACAGAAAGAAGCAAATGGAGCTTTCCAAGAGCTTATTATTGGAGGTTGCAAGCCCTTGTATTGTGACCTTGCTTTCAACCTCTTTTTATTTCCTCCCTCTCTCTTTCCCTCCTCACTCTCACAAATAAAAATGAGTATTTACTATGTGTGAACTACTGCCCATGTGAAAGAATATAATCTTTGTTGCTCTGACTACTTAACTTTACATGGTACATCTATAATCCCATATAGGAAGAAAAATAGCAAAATGATGGTAAGCTATATGAAAAGTTTACATATAAACTTGAAATCAGTTTGTTAATTTTACAAAGAAGAGGTTGATGAAAAGAAATCCTTAAATGTGCCTCTGTTATAACCCAGTAGTTTAAAATGTCCTAAACAATCATGTTTTGAGGATTCAGATTAAAACAGAAACTTACTGTGAGATCTTGTCATTTTTCATCATCATACTAATAGTGGATTATCATACTCTCCAAATACAGATGTTTATCACCAAGAAGAATTTTTGAGTGTGTGTGATGGATGATTCCTTGAAACAGAAAGACGATGAATACCTGACTGACTCTTGCTTTTGTCTTTCTCCAATCGCAGTGGGTTTCATATTATTTCATGAGCTTTTGCAAGGTACTAAGTGGAAGCACTGATAATTTGAGTTTTGTTATTCTTCCGGTTCCTCATGTTACGTGCGAAATCTCCATTTCTTTCTTACCTTGTGCATCCTTTCCTCCCAACCCTCCTTAAATCTCAAGAGTCTTTGTTTCTACCTGATTAAAGGGACTGCACCTAATCTTGTACTAGACAAAATATACAATATTTATTTCCTTGTTATTTTGTTTGCAGAACTTATTTGAAGCTTTGAATTTGCTATTTGAGAAAGTCAGTTTGACAACAAAAGATGCAGATACTGCTTTTTTGGGGGCAGTCATTTTAAAATCAACATTTCAATAACTCTAGAACCTTATATCTAAATCTATAACAGTTTAGTGTGGTAACAATTATTATATTTGGAGAGGGTATTGATGTAGTCTTTCATTTAAATTTACAAAAGGCTAATGAGAATATTAATTTACCATGATAAATATATTTGATATATTTAGATTTGGAAGGATGAATCAAACTTTTTCAATAAATCAGCTATGTGTAACAACTAGAAGGAGGTCATACAATTCATTACAAAGTGAAAATAAATATTTTATGAATTTTGTGCTTGAGTTGAATTTTACTTCACACCAGAAGGTGAAAAAATTTTAATTTGGAAGCTTTTGTTGTAATTTCAAATTACTCATTAGAATTGGTTTTAGAAGTCATGCTCACCACACAATTCATGCAGATCTACTCAGTTACCCCAAAGATTCTATGAGCTTAATAATTCTAAATGTGTTATTGAATTGCCATAAATCATAATAGAATATAAAAATAAAATGCTGCCTCCAGCTTTTAGCCATTCAAATTCTATTTTTGACCTAGACTTCTAAGAAATGCAAGTTCTCTGGGACTAAAAGCAACCCTCTCCTTTTTTTTCTCCTGGATTTGTTTGCTTGCATGCACAAAAAATTTTAAAATTGTTTAACTCATGTCCAAAGGATATCCTAAAATGAATTATTCACTCCATAACATTGAAACACACACACTGTCTTAGGAGCGGGTACCTTGTAAGCAACTTTAAGGCAGCTGCCGAGTAGAATGTCAAGAAACTGGATCCAGCTGAGAATTCCAATTACCTAATGAAGGTGATCCGCTTTCACTTTAATTTCTTGGTCAGTCTAACTCTTTATAACTTCTCTCATAAAAATCATGCTTTAAAATTACAATTTAAAAAGTAAATATTCAACTGGCCAGTGTATTTCATTCCATTTTCTGGAAATGGGAATCCCAGTTGACAGAGAAATACAAACGACAAAGACGTAAGATGGAGCAGTAACAAAGAACCCGTGAAAGGTTCCCCTGCCGCTTTGTGTTAGGGAAATATATCGCCTAAAAGGAAGACGCATCACAGGAAATTTGGGAGACACAAAACGTAATTTTTACTGATTTATTAGCAAATAAATATTATAGCTAAGTCGAGCAAAGCTCCAATACTGTCCCTGAGTAACTATTATTCAGCCCGAGTTCTCATTATTGGTAGTGTCCCAGCCAGCGATGACAGACGGTGGCATCAGCGCGCGCCAGGCCCCTCTCCGCCCGCCGCAGTCTGGCACAGAAGGTGCTCGGGTTCGCGCGTCAGTGATCCCCCTTTTGCTTTGTCTCTGTGCTGCAGGTGGGGAGGAGGAAGAGGAACGGAAGACGAGCCGGTGGTGGCTGGCGGCCGCTGAGCACCCCCCAAGACCCTCAAGCGAGCGTCCTCCCCAAGTCAGGAAAAGCCCACGGGCCTATCCACTGGAGTGGCCAAAGGGCCGGAGCGCGTAACCCCGGACCCGGCGGCCGGGGGCGCCAGCCCCTCATGTTCCGCAGAAGGCGCAAATGTGAGCGGCGGTAGCTGGGAAAGCCCTCCACCCCCGCCAGGGGGACCCGGGAAGCCCAGTCGAGCTCCTCCGGAGGACGGCGGGGATCCCCTCCTCCGGCCCCGCCCCCATCCTCCCCGGCCCAGGCGCCGAGGCGGTTAACCCTTGCTGCGCCGCAGCGCACTAGAGCGAGAGCACGGCGCAGCCTATCCCTGCTACCAGGCTCCGAAGTCCGGCGGCGGGGGAAAATTAGGGCTCGAGGCCGTTAGGATCTCGCCGCGGCCAACCTGCGGCTCAGGCGCCGGGGTTCTCACCAAGACTTGCTGCACTGGCTCAGCTAGCCATCAGACCTTTTCTCTCCAGTGTGGGTGTCCCCATAGTTATTTGGCGGGTAGCTGGCAGCCCACTCTCAGCAGGACAATCAGGGAGACGTAGGCGTGGGGCGAGGGGGCTCTGTTGTTCCGCAGCTCCTGAGAGGCGTGCATGCCGGTGAAGGAGTGGCCCCGGGTTCCGCACCGATCCCTCGCCTGACGCCCTGGCTGGGGTGGCCCAACGTGCTGCAGTGCCCGGGCAGGTGATCGAGACTGCACGTCCGGCAACAGTTAGGGGGGCAGTGGCGCGGGAAGGAGGGACGCCCCTACCCTTTCCCCTCTCACTGCAAACCAGCTGCACTCCCCAGCCCTCGTGGGGCTCAAGGGTAGTCCCCGATCGTCAGCAAGTGGAACCCTCGCCCTCCCCCAGTCCTAGCCTGAGCGCCCTAGGGTTTTCATCCTGCAGATCCCCCCTCCCCATCTCTCCCTCACACACACATGCTCCCCTAAACCTCGCGCCGCAAACTCAGTCTCGGTCCCCGCAGGTGATGTCATGCCCATTGTTTTGGTGCGCCCGACCAATCGGACTCGCCGCCTGGATTCTACCGGAGCCGGCATGGGCCCTTCCTCGCACCAGCAGCCGGAGTCTCCGCTCCCGACCATAACGCATTGCGCAGGGTGCACCACCGCCTGGTCTCCCTGCAGCTTTAACAGCCCTGACATGGAAACCCCATTGCAGTTCCAGCGCGGCTTCTTCTCGGAGCCGCCGCCGCCGCCGTCGCGCTCCTCGCACCTGCATTGCCAGCAGCAGCAGCAGAGCCAGGACAAGCCGTGCGCGCCCTTCGCGCCCCTCCCGCATCCTCACCACCACCCGCACCTCGCGCACCAGCAGCCGGGCAGCGGCGGCAGCAGCCCATGCCTCCGGTGCAACAGCTGCGCCTCCTCCGGTGCCCCGGGGGCGGGGGCGGGGGATAACCTGTCCCTGCTGCTCCGCACCTCCTCGCCCGGCGGCGGCGCCTTCCGGACCCGCACTTCCTCGCCGCTGTCGGGCTCGTCGTGCTGCTGCTGCTGCTCGTCGCGCCGTGGCAGCCAGCTCAATGTGAGCGAGCTGACGCCGTCCAGCCATGCCAGTGCGCTCCGGCAGCAGTACGCGCAACAGCCAGCGTCCGCCTCCCAGCACCGCCAGTGCCACAGCCTGCAGCCCGCCGCCAGCCCCACGGGCAGCCTCGGCAGCCTGGGCTCTGGGCCCCCGCTCTCGCACTACCACCACCCCCCGCCCCCGGCGCCCCACCAGCACCACCAGCCCCAGGCGCGCCGCGAGAGCAACCCCTTCACCGAAATAGCCATGAGCAGCTGTAGGTACAACGGGGGCGTCATGCGGCCGCTCAGCAACTTGAGCGCGTCCCGCCGGAACCTGCACGAGATGGACTCCGAGGCGCAGCCCCTACAGCCCCCGGTGTCTGTCGGAGGAGGTGGCGGCGCGTCCTCCCCGTCTGCAGCCGCGGCCGCGGCCGCCGCCGCTTCGTCCTCAGCCCCGGAGATCGTGGTGTCCAAGCCGGAGCACAACAACTCCAATAACCTGGCGCTCTACGGAGCCGGCGGCGGAGGCAGCACTGGAGGCGGCGGCGGCGGCGGCGGCGGCAGCGGGCATGGCAGCAGCAGTGGCACCAAGTCCAGCAAAAAGAAGAACCAGAACATCGGCTACAAACTGGGCCACCGGCGCGCCCTGTTCGAGAAGCGCAAGCGGCTCAGCGACTACGCGCTCATCTTTGGCATGTTCGGCATCGTGGTTATGGTCATCGAGACCGAGCTGTCGTGGGGCGCCTACGACAAGGTAGGTGCTCGAGCCCTTTGCCCACCGGTCCCGGGCCGCAGAGCCGGACGCCGGGTGGTTGGGGTGGTCGCTGGCGGGAACTCTCTGCCTGCCAGTCCCGAGCCTTCCCCTGACAATCGGAGATGTCCGCCGCGAGGGCGAGTGCCACCCCGACTCGCACCCTTAAGCCTAGTCTGGAGAGGAAGCTATATCCGCGCTCAGCCAAAGTTCTGGAGGGAGTGAATGCCCCGCCAGTTTGGGTATTTTAAAGAAGTGATTTCAGGACTCCGTGCGGGAAAGCATGCTTTTATTTCTCTCCTGGGGCTCACGATTTAGGAGGTCTCTTTCAAACCCAATGGCTTAAACTCAAAGATGACTTCCTCATGGATTTCATTTCGAGAGCCACAAGCTGCACTTGGGTCCGTGTAGTTGCGGACCCCGCCGCTGCTGCTTGGCTTTTCCTGATCTCCTCACTTTCCTGACAGATCACAGAGCCAAAACAGGTGCCCCTACCTCCATCCTCCCCCTGGGAGCTCAGATCCGATTGCTGGGGATTGGCCGAACCCCCAGGGCTTAAAAGTGCTTCTTTTTAAAAAGTGCTTCTGTCTTTGTTGCAGGCGTCGCTGTATTCCTTAGCTCTGAAATGCCTTATCAGTCTGTCCACGATCATCCTGCTCGGTCTGATCATCGTGTACCACGCCAGGGAAATACAGGTAACTTAGGCTCTGCTGTTTATGAATGACCCCAGCCTGGGGAAGTGCAAGGCAGCAGACGCTTTTCTGAGCTCTCCTGTCCTTGCCTGAGGTTACAGAAGACACGTGCTGTGTTCTTACCTTAGCACCTGACCTGTTCTTTCAAGAAGTTGAAAGCAAAACAAACAGTGCAGCATGTAAATCTGCAGTAGTTTCCAGGGTGTGCTTGTTACACCTCAGACTCCCCCCCTCTTCTTTAGGTAGGTCCACTTCTCCATGCCTGTCATTGCATTTGCTTTCCTTAAGGCCAGTTAAGCACTAGACTTCATCTGTAGGGTAGCTGAGTATTCTCCTTTAATACACATTTAACAAGATGGATGGGTCACTAGGGAAGATTGTGCCTATCTGTATCACCTTCCATAGCTAAGTGTAGCTTAGAGAAGAAAATACTCCTGGGATATTCCTTGCTAATGTGTATGAATAAGGCAAGAGGAGAATTCTGACCTTTTCTGTATCTTACCCTAACATTAGAGAAAGAATCTGTTGTGAATTTAGAATACAAATTCTGTACATCTGGTAGTTTGGTAGATGTTTAGGCACATTTATTATTTAAAATGTCACTTAAGAGCAAAGGCCACTGCCCTTGTGAGTGGACTTCTTAGGAAAATGTTTGTTTAAATGCAGCCAGGAACTCTGTTGTTAGATATGACCAATAACTGGCGATTTCAGAATATTTGATATAAATTCATGGGTCACCTTTTGGATTTTTACTTTGCTGTAACTTTTAGTCAACAGCATATTAAAGTTAGTGAATAAAATAACTAGTTTTCAAAAATTTAGAAAGATTGGGATTTTCCTGTTTACGACTTACACTAATATGTACTTTCTGGTTTTTTTTTGATTAGCTGTTATTTATTTGGCCAAACTATTAAACTCTTGAATTTAGCGTGCTTTCCTTTAGGAGTTGCCGTTAAATTTAAATTATATTTAATTAATTATAAATTAAATTAACTTTAAGTTAGTAATTCACAAAAACAGTAGAAGAAACCAATTTTAACTACTACCCAGTCAAAATAAAGATACACTTGATCCTACATGAGGATGGAAAAATTACATAAGCATGCTTTCAACTTTGCAAAGACTTTGAAAAGTGTGAAGTTGAAGGAATGAGGATAGAGAAGGAGAATTAGAAGGAGTAAGAATATCTAGAGGTAAGTAAGAAGACTGTACTGGCAAAAGAAGGCAAGCACATTTGAACTCTAAAATTTGAATAATTTACACAGGTCCATCTTTAATTCAACACTCGTGATCATGGGCTTTTGAGATTCTTTGAATATTTTAAAGTAATACTGAAATGTAACTTAAACATAAAAGTATCTTTTCACTGTGACTCAAAGAAAAATGCTTAAGGCTGGGGAACAAACTAGGTCTAATGGCCATTTGACTTGGTTTACAGATGAGAAACCTGTGATCAGAAGAGGTGACCCGCTTGCCAGATCCCACGGCTAGCCAGTGCGGAGCGTGACTGCTCTGTCCTAGCACCCACCCGTCATGCTTTCTGCTGCGCTCTGCGGCTGCTTATCAGTAGCCCTGAAACATGACGTATCTTTGTCCGTGGTTCCTCTCTAAATCCAAAAGTTTGATATTTGAATTGGGTTAAACTCAAAAGGTTTCTGTAAAATCTTCGTAGGTATTTATGAAAGTCAAGTAATTTTTTTTTTTTAAGACTACTGTAGTTTTACTTAATCTAGGCTGGAAAGAGACCTTGCTATTTTTTTGTTTTTTGGGTTTTTTTTAGGTNCACCTCAAGTACAAGATCAAATAATAGGGAAAACAGAGGCATGATTTCCTGTGAGTTTTCTTTTTCTTGCCCTTCTTCTGTGGGTTTGGAATTATTTCTTTGATGGAATAAGAACAAAACAATGTTCAAATACTCTTTAAGATCTTTAATATCAAATAAGTTGAATGTAGATTTCACTTCATCTTTTCAACTTTAGCGTAGTTGAGTTTCTCTTGTGAAAGGAATTTTATGAAAGAACTATTTAGTATTTTTGAGACAGGCAAATACAAGATTGGGAAGAAAGCCTCTTGGACGATCTTTCTGGTTCTCATTAGATGTGGCAGAATGGAGTGTACTATGCTTTAAATTTGAAAACAGTTTTGTTTCCTTGATTTTGTTTTGGTAATATAATTATATAATAAAGAGCACTAGAGGAAACACTGATTTTTCTTTGGTATCTCTTACAGTAGAGTAACTACGCTTTCTTCTTCAAGTTAACTTTTCAGAGATGGATGCTATAGATCTAAAACTGGAAGGGCAAAAATTAAAAGTTCTTCATACTCGTGCATGTAGGCCACACCAAGGAGAAAGGAGGGACTAAGAACAGGAACTTTAACAACCTCTGAAGGCTCCTGGGCTGGTTGGGGATGGATGGTTAAGTAGACTTAAGCACTGAGTAGACAGTGGCTCCCCTGTGGTCGGGGCGGGGGAAGGATGCTTGCTGTTGTACTCGTGCAGAGAGCAACTAGATGCTTCCAGACCATACAGAAAATACTGCATATAGTGCTATTCTTATTAATAAAATAATAGTAAATAAGTGTACGTAGTAGAAATAACTGGTACAGAAGAGCTTAAAATAAATATGATAGTCACATTCTCAGTCCTGCTTTTCATAAACAACCACTTTTAAATTTCTCATGCATTTCTCCAGAATTTTTAAAAATGATTATTTAGTTGTGTTGAGAGACACACACAGGGCTTCCCTGGTGACTCAGCAGTAAAGAACCCACCTGCCAATACAGGAGACTCAGGTTTGATCTCTAGGTCAGCAAGATCCCCTGGAGAAGAAAATGGCAATCCCCTCCAGTATTCTTGCCTGGATAGAGGAGCCTGGCAGGCTACAAATCCATGGGGTTGCCAAAGAGTTGGGCACCACTTAGCAGCTCAACAGAGACACACATGCTCTGCTTTCATTGCTGATGTATTTGGAAGGTTTTCTTCATCAGCACGTGGAGGCCCATCTCATTCTTTTTCTGCTGTTTATTACCCCACTATATGGATGCACTGTGCTTTACTGACAGGCCCTTGGTGTTTTCTAGGCTTTTGCTATTATAAGCCATAGTAAAACATACATGCTTATTTTAATCTGCTAATTAGAGGATGCACATATGATAAATATCCAGCAGACAGATTGTTGAATAGAAAGGAGTTTGTAAGCTTCTGCCTCGGTTGTAATGAGACTCCATGACCTCTGTCTATACTGCCAGCAGCTTCTGCCTCGGTTGTAATGAGACTCCATGACCTCTGTCTATACTGCCAGCAGCTCCTGCCTCGGTTGTAATGAGACTCTGAGTCCCTATGACTTCACATATACCCTGTAGTAATGAAATCACTCAGGACTAATTTTCTCCACCTGCCTGTGTAAAGATCTCTGCATTATTAATGGGTGTGACACTAAGTAAAGCAATCCTGCTGTGTTTACAAGCAGCATCACAAATGAATGAAGAGTGGAACTTTAGGTTGACCGCAAGTGGGTTCGCTTGCTTTGCCAAGCCGTTTCTGGGCCATGGTTTTGTACAGCTCGGTAAGAGGGCCACTGTGGGCTGTCATCATCCCAAACCACATCTGGCAGGGTGGACGGAGGAATCCTGCACTGATTTAAGTTCAAGGAGTTACTTTTGGTCAGGGTATAAAGCGGTTTCATGAGGCTATTTTAGAGAGAATTTCTGCTCATTAGAAAATAATATGATGTTTGCTACTTGGGGAGTATATTTTTAACCCTAAACTCCTTTAGAATTCTCTTTTTAGAACTGGAAAGACCTGAAATGTTACCCAGCCAGCATGTCATCTCAGATAAAAGATGACCATTTTTTGCCAATTTCTGCCTGAGCCCGCTCACCATGATGGTCAGTTTGTCTGTACAAGGTTGGCCCATTGCCAGACAGCTCTTACTTTTAGGAAGCTTTTCATTATGTTGGAGTGAAGTCTTCCCATAGTCAACATTTAAATAGTTTTTGAGCTCTGCTAATACAAGGAGGAATAAGACAATCAGGTTCCTTCTCTCCTGGAACTGACATTCCATGCAGGCGGGCTAAGGAGAGAGACAAAAATTAAGGAAGAACATTCTTAGAAGTTGTGATAAGTTGTGTCATAAAGGGTCCATAAAAGGGGCTGTGGTGGAAAATCATTAGGGGCAGATGGTTGTCAACAGACAGGGTGATCATGGGAGTGACTCCAAGGAAGTCACTCCAAGGAAGTGACTTTTAAATCGAGACATAAAGGAAAGGAAGTTATCAGTTATGGGCAGAGTCTGGAGGGAAAACCTTTTCAAAGGCCTTGTGACTGAAAGGGATTTCTTGCATTTACACAACTGATAGCAAATCACTGGAGTCCCAGCAAGGGGACAGTGGTACTGAGTGGTGTGAGAGGTGATATGCTAGGTTGTAATACTGAAGGGTCCTGAGACCATGGTAAGACTCTGTGATACCTTCTTCAAAGTGCGTGAGACCGTCATTGAAGCATAGACGAGTCACAGCCCAGCTTACTGTTTAAGCAGACATTTTGTTTGCTCGGCGTGGGGTGGGGCGGGTGGGAGGGGAGGGGGGTGCCGCGGGGAGGCTCTGAGGAGATTGGTCTGGAGACCGCTAGACTCTGAGCAACCCACATTGTAGAGATGGTGCTCGCTTGCCTTGGGTAACAGCAGTGTAAATGAGGGGAAGCGGTCTGGTTGGAGACCCCGGTTGGAGGAAGAATGGACGTCTTAGTGATTAGCTATGACAGGTGAGGGCAAGGGATGATGCAAAGATGACCCCAGGGTTCTGGTTGGAGCATCTGAGTGTGTGATGTTGAAGGGAGAGACTCCCACCGAAGGTAGGATGTGGATCAGGGCTGCTTCTGATGGAAGTGCTTCTGATTATACAAGAGAATCTTGAATTCAGAGAAGTGTGGGCTAAAATTTAAGTTAGCAAGTAATCAGCATGGAGGCTATTTAAACCCCTAGGAATAGATAAAATCAGTGAGA